AAGTTGTGGTTTTGGTTGTGTCAGTGAGGCAAGAGTAATGTCCTACCATGAAGTGAGGAGGTCACTGAGCCGAAAGAACACTTCTTTCAGACAGTTTCTATTTTGATCACGGTTTGCAAATTAACAGCCTTCTTTTATAAAGGATAGTTTTAGTACTCTGAACACCTTTTTCTACTGAAAGCCTGCTTTGTATCTGAAGATCCACATTTTACGACTGGAGCTTTTAATCTAAACCGTGGTACCGATAACTTGCAAGGTTATTCAATACTGCTTTTGACCGCTGCTTCCAGAAGACTGGTGTATAATCATACCCCATAACTGCACAGATTACCGAACTTCAGGGCCAAGAAAATGTTTCTGGTTTGTAACTTCAAATAAGGTGGCATATAAAATGCCCTGATGGTGAATGTGCATCCTGGTAGACTTTCTTCCTGGCTTTTCAGCAATGTGACAACCACTGAACAGTGATTTCATTGGCCTCCACAATGAAGTGTGACTAGGTTGTAAATTGTATATAATAGTCACAGCTGGTTAGAGAAACTGTTAGATATTGGTGCACTTGGTGTACAGGAATAAGGTGTGTATATACATTTAGCAAACAGAATTATGTATGAAAGGACATTATCCATGAATCTGCATGCTGACTTTTTTGAGGGAGGGGAGCAGCCATTCTTAGGAAAGGGAAGAATTTTAGCAGCATGTTAATTGAGAGATGTTTCTCAGACCTAGTGCAAAGTAAGTTACTGCAGCACATATGGGACAGGAACTGTGGTTCATTCTTAAAAGAGGCTGATCATTGCTGTAAATGTCAATCCTAACTACTCCTGTTTCTGTAAAACACTGTAGAAGGGACATTTTTTTCCTTCTCCAGTGTGATGTTTCTATATACCCTCATTTTCTCTGCTACTGACCACCTGGCATGGCTGCTCTCCTGGAAGTCTCCCCTCCCTTGAAACCTATCACCTGTTTTAAATGTTTATATTCCAGCTCAGCCAGGCAACATATTTATAATTTATGCTAGTTCTCATGCTTTCACAGTGGCAATTTTGTGCAGAATTTTTCCCACTGGATGATTTTACCGATGAACAAATTAAGATGGCAGAAAAATGTCTCTCTGAATCCCAAGCCATTGGCTGACAGGTTTGTGCCTTCTCCCTCCACCACCCTGTCATTTCTGATCGTCTGTGTGGCCATGTGTATAGGGGTAGGGGGAACGACATACAATTGACTTACAGAGAAGTAAACTGAAAACGGGTACAATTTTTTTCCACTTAAATGATAAGCATCCACTTATCACTTATCCACTAATGCTTCTTCCTACCTTCTTTACCCTATCACAGTCTGCATGTGCTCTCCCTTTCCTCCCTGTTGCATCCCATTCATTCCCAAATTCTGTGAATTTCCCCACTGAGAGAAATGTGTACTCTGCACCTTCTCCAGAAAGGCTTCTTCAAGCAAGACCATGGAAGTTCAGGAGATGTACTGTGGCAACAGTGGGAAGAGAGACAGTATGACAGATTGCACTGAGTGTTGTGCCCCCCTGGTTTAGAATGAGAAGGTCTGGGACTAAGAGGGCAGCATCTCAGCCACTAATAAATTCCCATGGCTCTAACTGGTGGCTTTTCCATTGGGTGAGAGCTGCAGGAGGAGCGGTGAAGGCGTTTGAGAGAGTGCTGTTGATCAAGGGAGACTTTTTCATTAGTTCTGAAGGCTGCCTGGATGGGAAATGAGACTGGGAAGGAGTGTGAGAAGTTTGTCTTTTGAATGTATGATGGCTCATAAAGCTGGTAGCTTTGGTTTGTTTGGGGTTTTTTTTTTAAAAAAAGCTGCTGTTGGGACACTGGTTCTGATGAGAGAGATTTGCATAAACTTTTCCTTGAGGCATAAAAAACACTTTAGGAAATGAAAATTATTATTCTGTTGCTAAGGGCTGCACTGTTACTGGAGCTATGGTGATTAAGGTTAGCTGCCAGACACCTTGTAGCTCTTGAAATCTTTGCATGTTTTAAACTTGTTGAAAGAGCATTAAGTGTGGTAAGTGTCCTTTGTATTATCTCTTGCTAAGATTCTAATTATGACTAAAAAAAAAAAAAATTGGCCATGCTACTGTGTCTTTCAGCACCTGAAGATAAATTGAAACTTGCCACAATGGTTGGGTACATGGGTAACATTTTTTTTTTAACTTGCAATGTTACTGGTCTAATACTTGTAGAGACACTTAACTTGCATCTTGGAAAATTATTCAGTTTGTGAGAGCATTATTTCACAGTAGATATGCTTCCTATCTGGAAAGTATTTCATCTTTTCTGGATTGGTATGCCACAGTCAGAGAGGTGTGTGGGGCAGGCTGTAAATTCACGGCAGCCAAGATGCAGTATTAGGTGTAGTGGCTGAAGGGGCTGGGCGCCAGTGGACAAAACCAGCCCTGAATGATATACAGCAAGGACCTGTCTGTCCAGTCCATAGCCAGTACAGTTGTCAAGTCACTGGTACAGAATAGAGCGCAGCCTGGCTACAGAAATGAGCCTGCTTGGTGTTCAGGCCAGTCTCCAAGAAATATGGGAAATCCAGTATTTTTTACCACTGATTCAGCTACAAAATGTGCAGCTATGTTACATGAGGTACATGGAGAACAGATAGGCTCCTACCCTGACATAAAGTCCCTCAGCTTGTGCATTCTCCACATGAAGTGAGACCGGTTACCTGTAGTGCACCCTGGGCATAGAGCTGTGCCCTGGTTTTGGCAGGGATAGAGTTAATGTTCTTTCTAGCAGCTGGTGCAGTGCTGTGGCTTGGATTTAGGACGAGAACAGTGTAGATAACACACTGATGTTGTAGCTGTTGCCCAGCAGTCAAGGGCTTTTCAGCTTCTCATATTTCCCTGCCAACAAGAAGGGGACACAGCCAGGGCAGCTGACCCCAACTGGCCAAAGGGATATTCCATACCATATGACACCATGATATATATATCAATATACATATGGGGTTGGCCAGCAGGCAGGGCAGCTCAGGAATTAGCTGCACATCAGCTCCAGGTGGTGAGAAATTGTGCTGTTCACCAGTTGTTTTGTATATTCTTTTATAATTTTTATTTCCTTCCTTTCCTGTTCAGGAAAGTTGATGACGCTGAATATATGTTTTATTTTTTATCTTTTCATCTCATGGAAGAGCTGCTGTTGCCCCATTGTTTCTTTTGGTGTCTGTTAAAGCATGACTAGCTAAAAACCAGGTCATGTATTGTGCAGATCACTAAGGAAAGAGCTTACCTGGTTAATAACTTGATTGATAGGTTTTATCAAGAGCTACAGTAAGCAGATAATTTACTGAAATCAGATTTTTTTTCCCCCGTTATCTGAGATGTGTACCTACCTTTTGAAGCACTGTCCAATGGCTTATAATTTTAGCTCAAGTTAGTCCCATTCCACTGGGATAATGAGCAATTAACAGAATTGTGATCAACTTTTCCAAAGCATAAGCTTACCTTGCATCCTGACTTGGAACCCAGAGAATTTTGCAGACTTTTTTCCCAGTAGGGTTGCAGAGAGTTTATGTACAGAGAGTGTGAAAGGTAAGAGTTGTCAAGAACTACTGGAAGTACACTTGCACTGATGGGGTGAGCATGCTTTTCCTCTTCCACAACCTAATTTTGGAACAGCAATGATTAACTGGGAAAAGGAAGCTGACACTGAAGATCTGAAAGAAGTGCCACTTGAGATTTGCATGTAACAAGAGCTGGATTTTTAAATGTGATAGACTTGCAAAATATGTAACAGAACTGAGGTAAAAGCTAGTATAACCAAGACTGCTTCTTGTGGTGTTTTCTTTCTTCTCCAAAACAAAATGCCTAAATTTTTACTTGCTATGCTTCTACTTCTGAGAGCAAAATGTATCAATATGCCAGTGCTCCAGAAACTCAATACCCCCAATGTAGTTCCTCTGCTAGGTAGGAAAAATAAAACACCAATTCTAGTGTAGAGATAAGCATTTAATTTTATTAAAGCTATCAACTTTAGCTAGCCAAAAGATACCACACAGTTTCTGCTTCTAAACAAGCTTAATTAAAACTTACTTTAAAGCTTTCTGGTTTGCAGTAGGAAAGCTATTTAATAATTTTTAAATGAAGCTTTATCATTAAAATAGCAGCAGGAACATTTAGCCATCCTGCCGAGAGACAGAAGTCTACAACTTGCCTTGCAAATAGAATTTGTATGTCTGATCCCAGCATCTGGAAATACTTCATGTATTCCATGTTAGCAGCATACATATAGAACAGATCTTAACAAACTATCTGCAGTCAACAGCTTGAGGCAACTGGCATCTACATTTGTCTATTAATGAGCGGGTGTCAACTCACGGGCCACTGTGGCCTAGTGGTTAAGACTGCCAAAACAACATTAGGTAGTCACCTGCACGTCTGCAAAGGATTTGAGATAGCTGCGTACATTCTTCCAGCGTGGATGTCAGCTGGAACATAACAAGGACCCCTACTAGGACATAAATTGCTATATGTGAGCAAAAAAATAAATAAATAAAAAATAAATCAGTGGAGCTACGGCAACACACACCAGATGAACACAGGCATTGACCCCGTCCCTGTTCTCCAATGAGATACAAAGCGTGCACACATATTACCAGTCCTTGCCTCCCCCTGGTAAACCAAGGCAGAGATCCCCTTCTGCCATCTCTCTTCTAAGTTGAGTAAAAAAAAGCAGATCCATCCCACGTGGTGATAGACCAGAGAGGTGCAACAAGACAGTACCATATCACAAACAGACTAGTTGCACCTGAGCAGCCCAATAAATGCCAGCTTGCAATCTGCCTAATAGGCTTTGCAGAATGAGCTTCCCCTTGGAGTCTGAGCATGAGTGTATATAAAAAAAGGATTATCAATACACTTTCCCACCTACTTGTCAGAGACTATTTTCCTGTACAGTATGTCTGACAGAAGTGCTCTACTGAGGAATAAACAGGAAACAGCTCAAAGAAAGACAGAAACCAGCTCAAAGTACGGTTTCCCTGACAACACCAATAAGACTGTGAGGCCGTTCATGTCCTGCTCTCTGGATCCTCCTTTCTGCTAGCTGATCTTCACATATGGTGAAAGTACTCAGGTCACCACAGCTCTCCAGGTGCAGCAATCCAGGATGTTGTCTGAGAGGTAACACATGGGCATTCAATGACATGCCTTGCTGGGCAGGCATCATCACCTTTAAGAGAGGGAGAGAAAAAAAAGAAAAAAAAAGTAAATCAGATTTGTTTTCAGGCTCTTGTTTCATTAAAATAGTTTCTTACCCAACTAGGAGGAAGCTGGTTGTAGTACTGAGAATAAAACTGTTACTTGTCGAAGAGGCATGGGAAAAGCAATCCCAACTGGGAAAAGGAGTGAGTGTTGTCTTTTTTCTTCTTTTTAAGCTGCACAAGAATTAGCTCACCCCAAACCATGTCATGTCAGGTATGGCTTAAGAGGAATCTAAATGTTGCTTCCTGCAGAAGCTACTGGACTGTAATAAGCTTCAGGCCAATGCAATAAATTAAATTCTCATAAGGAATTCTTTTTTCATCTGTTTCTGTCAAATTTGTTAAGGTTTTCGTTGCCTGTAGGCTGCTGTGGGAAACCTCATTCTATCTCTAGAGCGTAAATTAAAATCTTTGATGTGTTTTTTGTGAAAACTCAAACCAAAACCAGTAGTCACAGCAAATCACTTGTACCATGCATGAATCAACTCATCTATCAAAATGGTCTGTAAGTTACCAAAACATTTGTTTGATAAAGTCTGTAATGTCTAAACATTCATTCTATTAATGTAAGCACATATTTTCTACTTTCTGGATTTTTTTCCTTTAGTACTAGGACTTATTTTTATCCTTGGAGCTAATTACAAAAAGTTGCTTCTAGTAGATTTACATAAAATCTTCCTTGTCAGCCTCCATTTCTTGCAATTTATAATAGTAAATGCTTTGTAACATCTCTTCCCTCTCCCCTGCCACGCTCAGTATAAAACGCTGTCATGTTATTTACAGTTCATGGTGCTACCACAGAAGACCATCTCCTTCAGCTTTTAAATACACGTGTATTCTGAAAGCATTTCTGGCTGTGTGGTTCATAGAGCAAGACACATCACAGCTGCACAGCCTCTTGCGCACTCTCTAAACAAAACTAAGGAAGCTAATTGCATCCAAAAACTTTGACACACAAAGCAGAATGGCAAATATAAACCTATACACCCAAACCAAGGCCAGCTTGGGTTTCCACATCACCCAACAAACACAAGTAATAAGACTACCTGCTCAAGGTAGGTGGCACTAGTGATAGCTTCTGCCATATGTTTCTCATCTGATTTTAAAACAGACTTGATATTTTCCACCAGTTCATGTATGTCAGGACTCATGCTGCCAGAGGACTGCTCTAGGATCCATGCCACAAGCTGTTTAGTGTCTGTGTAAGACTTGTAGTCTATCAAAGATTGGGGTCTTCGCCTCAAAGCTCTTGCTCTCAAACTCTTCCACAAGGTGACAGTGCAGAGTTGTGGCTTTACTTCAGTCTGCGTGGCAGCTTCACAGCTGAGCACTGCCCCTGAAGACAGAGATCAAACAAAGCAAACAACCCACTTGGTTCACAGTACTGTTCAACAAGTGTCTCCTGAGATTTCCATCCTGATTCAGTGATGATGCAGTGCACAGTTTAACCTTCTAAAACTTAACAGACTGGCATGGTCAAGGCGGCACACAAGGCTCGCTCTGTATTGGATTTACTCTAGAGAAAATGCCTGCAAAATAGAGTAGTACACAGCTATGACTGAGTTTCTGTCATGTGTCAAAGGGGTTGGAGAGACATTTCTGGGAAAGCTGCTTGCAATTTTGTGTACTTTTGCTTCTGTTCTGAATAGAGCTGAAATGAGTGTTGAGTGTTAACATTAATATACAGTTATACAAAGCAAGCTAAGCATAGCTTGAAGGCCTTTACTACTCCCCTAAACTTTTGTGTAACTTTCAGTTATTACCATACAAAAGAACTAGTTAAAGTGTCTGAAAATAATTGCTTGTCAATTACTAGCTTGGAAGCTAGTAATACTACAAAGTGGAAATCTAGTGAAAAAAAAATCCCAACATTCAAAATTACATTGCAAAGACTAAACAAGGGGCAGCAGGAAATCAATTGCACTGCCTTTGATCCAAATAAAAATCCACTGCTTTTGGTTTAAATAACTATCATCAATTTTTGGCCCTGTTAAAAAAAATAAATAAGAACACCTACAGGTTGTTCAAGAAGCACTTTAATGTTGGCTTTATGCCAAACACAGCAATACCAGGAGGAGATCCAAAATTTTCCAGCAAGAAAAGCACTAACTTGAAGCAACTTCTGTTGTTCTGTTGCAGCTGAGTTCTCTTTCTGCAGCATTCATTTATTTAACTCTCAGGCCCGGTGCAGAACAGACCTAACCTCAGTTACACCGAGCCTAAAGAACCCAAATGCTTCTGACTGATGGAGCCTCTCTACAGCAGAAACACTCTGCTTTCACAGCTACAAATAGGCTCGGTGTCATGTAACTACTGCTTCAGCAGCAGATACTCTGGGGTGCTGTGGTGGAAGTTGATAGGAGGAAGAGAAAAAAAAAACACATGATGTAGCAGAGACATAAAACCATTCCACAAAATATTAAGTGTAATCCAGATAGGCAAGCTCCCAATATTCAAAATAAATGGTTGTTACTAACATGCCCCTTCCCTGCTTATGTTTTGTGAGTGCTAATACGCATCAGCAGCTCCTATGGGAATTCCAATATCCTCTAATAAAAATTGCAAGACTCTTGACTAGTGGATTTGTAAGACTGTCAACAGAATCAAGGACTCTGCAGCCATACTAGCAGTTTTCCCACAGCAACTGAATTGGATCCCTGACACCAAAGCAGCTGCGACAGACTTCACTGGCTCTCCACTGTGAGGTTTTTTTTGTGTTGAGTTTTTGGGCTTTCTGATGCTATAAGGAGCGAGAAAAGGGTGCAAATTTATAGGCTAATACCAAATACCCAAGCTAATTTTGCTTTAAACTGCTCACATTGACAATTGCCCTTTCAAGCTTTCAGATGCCAGTATAGGAATACACTGAGAAATCCTACGTGCTCCCTCCTCTTCGCCTTCCACCATTCCTCCCTCCTCCCCGAACCAGCAATGCCTGCTGCAGACCCTGTTCCCAGATGTGAAAGCCTAAAGACCAGCAACATTATGGTGTCGGGTGGAGAAGATTTGGCAAAGCACAAACTGTTTGCTGCATTTTAAGCACCCTGTTGGGAGACAGTAGCCAATTTCTGCGCGTACTAGGTTCAAGGTACTGACCTTCTGATAAATGTGCTTTTAAGGAGTTAGTTATTACATAAGCGCTGACAGAGAAAAATCGTCACCTTGAAGAAAGCGGCAGTGCAGCACAGGGTCACTCTTAGACCGTTTCTGCAAAGGATTGAAGGCTCTCTCAGGCATGCTGTCCGCAGGCACCAGGCTTGCATTTGAAGGTGAAAGGCTCACTCTGCTGGGAGACTCAGGAATTTCTTCACCTGAGTAACCAGGAGTAGTAAAGGTGAAGGAAAAGTAGTCAGAATAAAGCAGATCTGTAGAAGCCATTATTTTGTGTGTGTGTGTGTCTGTGTCTCACCCATCCCTGTTCCCCCTGCAAAGCTGTAACAATTGGACACAAAAACCTAGAGGCACATGTATGTGTGCATACACCCACACTCACCAGTAACACTGGTCTAAAGCCTACTTAAACATTTGCAGAAAGCTGCAAAAGTATAAACCTCACCTTAAACTACCTCACCAGAGAGAAGGGAGCTACAGCTTTCTTGGAGAGAAAACTAAATCTCACAGAGTCTGAAATCCTCCTGTATATAAGCAGTTGTGCCAAGATATGACAGCATATGGTCATAGAGGTCAGTCACTGCAGTTAGGTAGCTTTCAAATCAGTCACCAATCCCTATGAAGGAATTAAAAATCTTGTTTCATGAGGTTCTTTATTAAAATAAAGATTTTCCTGAATTGTTGTGACGCGTTTCTCTTTCCAATTAATCAAGAGTCCTCCTTTTCCTTATGGTGAAATTATATGCTGTGATTCACATAACTGCCTTTTAGTAAACAGGACAGGATGAAGCAATGTATTTCTCAAGAAACCTGATTCTGTACCTCCATCTGATGGCACCTGGCATATTACAGGAAACAATGGTCTTGCTCATCTAAGAGCAAAAAAACCAAAGTAAGGTAAACAGTCTCTTATTCAGAACATGGCAAATGTTCATGCTGCCACTCTAACAGAAATGTGCCAGTGACTGGAGCATTTGAGAAAATTAAAGCTTGGATGATATGTCCTTGTTGACCATAACACCTCATCTCCTACACAAATGCAACCTAGAATTTCTAAAGAGAAGAAACAGTGACACAACCTATATAGAGCAGATACCAGCCTGGGAAGTCTGGAGGTAGGACCCAGCAACGAACACAGTGGACCAAGAATCAGGCAGGATTAAAGCAGATACCAGCCTGGGAAGTCCGGAGGTAGGACCCAGCAATGAACACAGTGGACCAAGAATCAGGCAGGATTAAAGAATCCATCACCAATATAAACTTTTTAACACCAGTGGAGTTGTGCTTGCAGTCAGTCCCTGAGGTACAGTGCTGCTGGTACTCTGAAGTTACGGGTTTTTAAATACTAAACAGATGAATGAAGCAATTTCATGGCTTAAGCTGGTGTGTCCTGGAGAGGCATATACCTCATATGTGATACAGAGCAGCTGCCAAGCATCCCCAGCCATCAGTAGAAGGTTGCATGTCTTCCTACTACAGTCAGCAGGGAAAGTCCCACTTTGCTTGACAGGAGTGCTTCTGAAGTGAGTATAACCATTTCAGCTGGCACAGAGAGGCTTACAGCTCCTTCTGCAGCTGGCAGCCAGGACTCTCCTGGTTCTTCTGGCACAGAGTACTACATAGCTTTAACTTCTGTTGGGAACTACACCTAGTCAGGTAGTCCTGACAATGCCAAGGGAATCATGGCATCATACACAAATACCCTGCCATGACAGACTACCGGCATAAACCGCAAGTTCAGCTTTTATTTATAGACTGTTATTCTACATCACCTGAGACAGCCCATGCAGTTGCTCTGCCACAATTCCAACACATGCCTTCATTTTGTATTTCCCTCCTGCTCTGGTTTAACCCCAGCATGCAGCTCAGCCCCATAGAGCTGCTCACCCACTCCCCCTTAGAGGGATGGGGAGGAAAATTGAAAGGGCAAAAGTGAGAGGACTCATCAGTTGAGATAAAGACAGTTAAATGGGGGGTGGAGGGACCGATGACAACAGATGACAACAAAACAAACCAAGGAAGAACAAGTGATGCAAAACCAATCACTCACCAAGAGCTGACAGATGCCCAGCCAGTCCCTGAGCAATAGCAACCGTGGAAAACTCTCCCCAAGCATTTACTGCTGAACATGATGTTATATTATGGTATGGGACAGCCCTTTGGCCAGTTGGGGCCAGCTGTCCCGGCTGTGTCCCCTCCAGCCCCTTCACTGTTGGAGCAGAGTAAGCGGAGTAACCCTAACCCTAACTCTAACCCTAACCCTGCTTAGAAAGAGCTAAAACATTGGTGAGTTGTGAACACTGTTTTGGTCACAAATCCAAAACAGCACCATATGGGCTGCTATGAAGAAAATGAACTCCATCCCAGTCAGATTGAGTGCACCTCCCCAAATATAAAGGAAGCTTTAAGCTAAGCAGATCTCACTTGGCATATTTTCTTTTCTTAAATTCATTGCCCCAAGGAAGCCTGGGCATCTAGAAGAAGCAGTGTTAGTTTTCTTTATTAACATGCTCATGTTCCTCTTTATCTGGATTTAACACCCAGGCTGAGACTTAAATGTCTTTTTATAGGCCTTTTTACCAAAAAGAAAAAAAAAAGAAAAAAGAAAGAAAGAAAAGAGAGAAAGAGGGAAAAAAAATAAAATGGACAAACCAGTTCAAAAGATGGGGAGGAGGATACAATTTATTGCATGCATTCAGGTCTGCTTGCTTTCAAAGAAGTTTTTAAATACAAACAATACCTCAAACAATGCCTCAACATGTTTGGTTTTTTTAAACTTTCCTGACTCTCCTTCACAACACTTGCATTTTCCATAGTATTGTTTTCCTGTTTTCTGTTCTCATAATTTTAAGCAGTCACCATGATGCAGCCTTATGTTTGATATCTGTCCTGGTTCTGGCAAGGATAGAGTTAATTTCCCAAAGAACTGGGACAGGTGAGCCAAACTGGCCGGGGGCTATTCCATGCCATGTGACGTCATGCTCACCATAAAACGGGGCCAGTCGGGCAGGGGAGGGGGTGGTACGGTTTCACGTGGTTCTGGGAGGGGCTGAGAGTCCGGTGGGTTGGTCGTTGGCTCGGTAAATTGTTCTCTGTTATCACCCATTATCAGCACTGCTGTTGATTGTTTCCCTCTCCCTTGCTGTCCCAGTAAATTGCCCTTATCCCAACCCTCCAGGCTTTGCCGTGGTTTTTCCCTTCTCCTCCCCATCCCGCCAGGGAAGGGGTGAGTGAGCGGCGCATGGCGCTCAGCTGCTGGCTGGGGCTGAACCACATC